CCAGGTTTAGTAACTTCTACTTTATAATTAATTCCGTTCTCCATGTACAAAGTGAGATCAAAATCACCCATAAGAATAATTATTTCAGAGCGTACTTCTTTCAAAAAAGAGAAATATTTCAAGTTGAGCACATAATTAAACAGGGGATTGGGGATAACCTCTCACTCTGGATCTCCTGGGTAATTCTGACTGGTAACTTTTTCTCAGCCCAACTGTGATCTTACAGTGTTGTAAAAGGCTAAAGCGATGAGTAATAATGCTGCTGCCAATGCCTCACAGGAAACGTGAGATATAAATGTAATAAAATAAATAAACCTCCATTTAGGCATCTCTATGTAAATGAGCGTGGGTGGGGGGGAAACGGATGATCTGCAGAATTACCATCCTGAATGCATCGTTGCTTTGTGAGGTGATTCCAAACTTTTATAGCATACATTCCTCTTTGTGACATTAAAAAAAACAAAAAACCCGTCACAAGTTCAGGAGTAGGAACACAAGTCACATCTGTATTAAAATCAGTCACTATAAAGCGAGCCAGAAACTTTCAGAGGTTCCAATCGTCCTGTCAACTCTGCCTGAAATTAATATTAAGATAAGGCAGGCTTGAATTACAGACCTAATGAGCAATCAGCTGTTTAATACCCTGTGCTACTTAAGGGCACAAAGATTAAAGGGTTGTTCTTTTTTTAAAAAATCTACAATTCACAGATATTATTAAATCAACAATTGCATCAAAAGGAGGCCAGGGAGGAACATTTCTTTGCTTAGCTCATGGAATTTTAATATTCATTTTCGTTTTGAGTTAGATAAACAACACCCTTTGTATTAGCAATATATATATATATGCATGCATTATACACACACACACACAAAATGAGGGAACACAAACCCAGTACTAAACGAACCTGCAAACTCTGTATTACACTAACATCCAAAACGTAGTTACTCAATATGGGATCTACTATCCTATGTTATAAGACTACAGGTTATTGGGGGTTCAATATCCTCAAATAATTTCTGTGAAATAAGCAATGTTTGATTCATGTATGCATCTGTATCCCACCTTTATTATTGTTATACGTAACACAAGGCAGCAAACATATTCAAAGTACCTTCCTCCTATTTTCAGCACAACCACCCTGTGAAAGTGAATTGGTTGAGAGAAACTGAATGGGCCAAAGGTTTTCAAGCCTTAAGGCAGGACTAGAATTCAGTCTCCTGGTTTCTAGCCTGGTGTGTTAATCACTAGACCAAACTGGCTCTGTATTCTAGCTCTGATTAACAGGTTTTGTATGATTAAATATACTGATATTGCTGTCAGCTGTTAATTGTATATCACCATTGTATCTGGGTTGGGAATGTATTAAAATCCAGTATATTTTTTGCATGTAAAATGGCCATGGACTCTAAGTATCTTCTTGCTTCTTCAGTTTAGGTTACAGGTAGTCCTCATCTTATGAAAACTGAGCCCCAAATTTCTCTTGCTAAGTGAGACAGTTGTTAAGTGAGCTTTGGCTCATTTTATCACCTTTCTTGCCACAGTTGTTAAGTGAATGACTGCAGTTATTAAATTATTGTGGTTATTAAGTGAATCTCGCTTCCCCATCGACATTGCTTGTCAGAAGTACAAAAGGAAATCACATGATCCAGGGACATTAAAACTGTCATAAATGAAAGAGTTGCCAAGCATGACGTGGGATGCTGCAACAATCGTTAAGTATGAAAAACAGTCATAAATCACTTTTTTCAGGCCGTTGTAACTTTGAGCCATCAGTAACCTGTTGTAAGTTGAGGACTACCTGTATTAGTTATAAATGTGCAAGTGAACAGAGGGTTAAAAACAGAAAAGGCCATATTCTTTAAGGAAATTACTTTTGCTGTTAACTGCAAGGGTATGACTTTGACATATGAGTACCTAAGCAAGCAATTACAATAAAGTACAGAGTACATGACAAAATTAATAATATGGATGGACTGTATCTGTAAAATCAGATTTCCCCCTTCTCCAAGTTTACAGAAACACCAACCCGGACTACTCTGTAGGTGGATGAATGTGGGAGAAATGTTTAATTCCAGGCAGGATTTGTGAGAATTATATCCATAACTGTCTCGCTTAGCAAGAATTATATTAGTGACATCATTACTTAAAAGTCCAAGTATTTCTTGAATTCTTCTAACTAAATCCTGTTCAGGGAGTTTTAAAACGTTAAGAGGGTTACCCCAAATCTATAATCATATATAAAAATATGTAAAAGAAAATGAGAGACTTAAACCTTCTAAAGCAAAAAGCTGAATCAAGGTGTGGTAGCCAACTTCACATCTCCGCTGTTATGATGCAATGTTAGCAAAAGCTTTACCCGAATACTAAAAAAACAAACTCCTATTAACGGCAAGGAATATACCATAAAAGGTCCCTTCCTAGAAACTCCTAATAGAGATTTCCTAAACCTCACATGCTAGACAGGATGAAGTTAGAAAGTGAAAGTGAAAACAAGCGCTAGAAAGTAGATAGCCTGCTATAAAAAGAATGAAAAAGAAAATGCATCTCAAACTCATTTATGTGATGCCTAAGCAGGTTTCTTACTACCTTCTGACACTGACATAGTTATGCTCTTACCTAATAAATTATATTGGATTATTTGATATGAATTTTTATAGATTTTAACACGTGGAAACCCCATTCGGCGCAGTGTAGCGTTACGTCTACCTGACTTGTAGTTCTTCCCTGCCAGCTTACTCTTTTTAAGATCCAAATGGACCGCTTTGTTGCCTTTATTGTCCCAAACCTGTTCTTATGGATATTCCACTTTACATAATCCAGGAAGTTAATAAACCCAATCCTTTTACATTGTCTTCCTATGGCTGAACAAAGCAACTTCAGGGACCAGGAAGCTTTAGGATGAGCACATAAGATAAATGAAGACCAAACCAACCATCTCACCTGCATACTTTGCACAACAGCATCCAGCAGGTCAGTTAAGGCTACATTCCCACGACAAGTTAATCATATGTAGCCTTAACCTTAGTTTAGGGGGGTGAAATTTGGGTGGGGGGGCAGGATTGAGCATACTGTGTGAAGCAGACAATTTGCTTATGATGTAATTCCATTTACTATCTGACACTAAAAAATAGATTATTTAAATTTAAGAAAAGCTTTGAGGGGCTGAGGATGGGGGAAGGTGCTGCTTAAGCTTGGTTGTTTTCTTGTAGATGTTTCATTACCCAACTAGACAGCATCATCAGTACTAAAAGAGAAGAGTTTGCGAGGAGGAGGAGGAGGAAATGATGATGTTGACAGGGTCCTTGGTGCTCTCTGAGCTTGGAGGTTTTCTTGCAGACATTTCATGACCCAACTAGGTAACATCATCAGTGCAAACCCCACTCCCTCCTAGCCCTGATGATATTACCTAGTTGGGTCATGAAATGTCAGGAAGAAACAACCCCCCCCCCCCCAACTCAGAGAAGCACCAAGGACCCCACAGTCCTTTTTTACTCCTCCTCCTCCTCCTTTCCACAAACCCCCTTCCCTCCTAGCCCTGATGATATTACCTAGTTCGGGTCATGAGACGTCTGCAAGAAAAAAAAACCCAGCTCAGACACCACCAAGTCCTCTTTTTCCTCTTCTCTTCCTTCTCTCCGCAAACCCTAACCCTAACCCTCCTTGCCCTGATGATGTTACTTAGTTGGTTCGCGAAACGTTGGGAAGAAACCCACCCAGCTGAGAGAGCACCAAGGACCCCAGAGTCCTCGTCCTCCCCTCCCTCCTGATGTTACCTAGTTGGGTCAGGAAACGTCTCTGCAAGAAAACCACCCAGCTTTCAGAGAGGATCTCCTGGTGGTTCCCTTTCCCTCCCCCAAGATAGGGAAGGAAACCCCTCCCCCCCCCACTTCCAAGGAAAAACCTTTGGGCTGAAGAATGGGGGGTGGGGAGGGGGGCAGGCAAAGCATCCCAGCTGGGCCTCCTCTTCGGGCCCCCACTTCGCCCAAAGCCGCTTTCGTAACGTCAGGAGGCGCCGCCGCCCATCCGAAGACGCGCGGGGGGGGGGGGAAGGGGGGAGGAGGAGGGCCCCTCCCTCCTTCTCCCTCTCTTCTCCCCGGCCCATTTTAACCCCCTCCTCCTTGAGGGGAGGGGGCGGT